GAGACCTTGCTAATGCACTGGATGAGAAGCAGCTTATTGAAAAAATGTAAGTGAGTAAGCAAGCATATCTTAAGAAGTAAGGTAAAACAAACATGTTTTAGATTGGTGTGTCCAACCTTGGCAACTTTAAGTCTGTATCTGTGGAAATTCTCAGTCATCCAGGTCATGGTTGTCCCAAAGATGCTTTTTCAAGAGACAACTGGATTTTCTGTTTTTTCTTTGAAAATGTTTCGCTTCTCATCCAAGAAGCTTCTTCAACTGTGACTGGATGTGGGGTATAAATTCTTCCATTCCTCACCATCCAGTCAGAACTGAAGAAGGTTCTTGGATGAGAAGCGAAACATCTTCAAAGAAAAACCTTTAACACCTGTGAACTTTAACTCCCAGAATTCCCTAGACAGCCCATGATGCTTTGCTATTTTATCAGTCACATAAGGGCCTATGGAATATTGTTCATCAGTGGTAAATATGGGTATGTCCAGCATATATCACATAATTCTTTTTTTAAAAGAACAGTCTTTCTAACAGTAATTACTTTAGTTACGGTTATTTTGATTTGTATATATGTTTGCAGTCATAGGAGAAAGTTTCCAATAATCTGCCTTTGTAATTAAAAATAATATTTTAATGTGAATCACATGTATGTCACGTTTAATAGGATGTTGCTGTCAGTTTTCAATAAATTATTATTTGCTTCTGTTCCAGGAACCTGGCTGCTATTCAAGACAGAGAAATCTGCTGCTACTCCATTTCCTGCAAAGAAAAGGACAATATAGGTAATAATACCAGTAATGCTAACTTTAAAGTACACAGTATGTTACCCGTGGCTACCACAGTTCAAAAAAGACAGTGTCAAATTGAAACAAGTTTAAAGGAAGGCTACTAAAATGGTGTACCATTCTGGAATAAAGCCTCTGAGGAACAGTTAATCGGGTGTGTTTAGTTTACAGAAAGATGATTTAGAGGAGATATGATAGCTCTCTTCAAATATTTAAAGGGTTTTCACAAGATGAGGAAATGGATTTATTCTGTGTTGCCCAGCAAACAGTAGAATTAAAGAAAGGCACAGGCTAGATATCAAGCTGATAGTCATTGGAACAGGCTGATACATGAAGTTGTGAGTTTTTCTTTATGTTATCTTCAAATAAGGTTGTATTGTGAAAGATGCTGTTTAGCCATCTCTCTCATAACAAATTCTGGGTACCAAACAATAATAATAAAAAAAACCCAAATCCCTATTAAGGTAATACCAGTTTATAATGCCTTCTTAGTAAGGCCACATTTGGAATACTGCATCCAGTTTTCGTTGCCATGATGTAAAAAAGATGTTGAGATTCTAGAAAGAGTGCAGAGAAGAGCAACAAATATCATTAGGGGACTGGAAGTTACAACATATAAAGAACGGTTGCTGGAATTGGGTATGTCTAGTTTAATTTAAAGAAGGACTACAGGTGACATGATAGCAGTATTCCAATATCTTAGGGGTTGTCACAAAGAAGAGAGAGTCAAGCTATTCTCCATAGAACATGAAGGCAAGACAAAAAGCAATGGATAGAAACTAATCATGCAGAGAAACAACTTAGAATTAAGGAGAAATTTCCTGACAGTTAGAAAAATGAATCTGTGGAACAACTTGCCTCCAGAAGTTGTGAATGCTCCAACGCTGGAAGTTTTTAAGAAGATGTTAGATAACCATTTGTCTGAAGTGGTNCCCTCACACATATATGCTAGTCATTCCCGACTCTAGGGGGCAGTGCTCATCTCCGTTTCAAAGCCAAAGAGCCTGCACTGTCCAAAGACATCTCCCTGGTCATGTAGCTGACATGACTAAATGATGAAGGCGCACGGAATGCTGTTACCTTCCCACCAACTGCTAAGTTGGCAGAAGGTGGGACAAGTAACGGGAGCTCACTCCGTTTTGGGGTGCTATGGATTCGAACCACCAAACTGCCGAGCTTTCTAAGCGACAAGCTTACCATGTTAACCACTGAGCCACCACATCACGCTTTATCATTACCTACTGTTAAAAAAAATAGGCAAACTCAAAGCAAACTTGAAAAGAATATATCTGTAACTCATAATCCACAAGAATTCTCATGTGCTATTAAATGTAAAAATTTTATCTGAAAAATGATTTCTCTTAAAAAAGAACAATGGTTTTGCTGCTGAATTTCATAGAACAAAAGCTAAATGTAAACTGTCTAAGTACACTCAACATTGGACACCCCTGCCCAAAAAAGAACCTTAGGTTATGTGAGTCATGTTAGTCTTGTAAAATTACAAGCAGATTCTGGTTATTTTCTGAAGCTGAATACATATATGTTCTTCAACAGTAAATAAAATGCAGATCTTCAGAGTAATTTCATATACTACTTCATACCTGTAGTATTTGTTATACAGCCAAGATCTGATCAACTAATGATAGTTATGATATGGATGACATATCCATATATAATGATAATGGATATTTCTCACAACTTTGTACTTGTGCATATTGGGAATACTCAAGAAAACTGAGAACTAATGCTTCATTTAATGAGCAATAGCACTTAGATTTATATACCGCTTCATAGTGCTTTTACAGCCCTCTCTAAGTGGCTTACAGAGTCCACATATTGCCCCACAACAATCTGGGTCCTCATATTTACCCACCTCAGAAGTATGGAAGGCTGACTCAACATTGAGCCGGTGAGATTTGAACTGCTGAACTGCTAGCAGTCACCCGAAGTAGCCTGTAGTCCAGCACTCTAACCATTGTGCCACCTTGGCTAATTATTTAGTTCCCCCCATCAAAGCCTGCTAGGCTGCCTCATTATTGTGGGGGTGGTATGGTTAGTGGGTATTCCTGTGAGGGATAAGCAGAGAATACTGGTTCCCAAGATCCCAAGGCCATCTCTGTTAAAGCAGGCATCCACCTTATATCAGGCATGAGACAGTATAGGAAGGTGTATGCTTATCAAGATAAGGTGATTATATATAGACAGCCATTAAAAGATAGGATGCAACATTAAAATGACCTTTGTAAAGACATAGAAGATGGAAACAGATATGGAAAAACATGGAAAGTCTTCCAAAAGATCTATAACCTCAAAAGGTTTCAAACTCAAATAGGTTTTCTAAAGGATAGCAATGGGCAGGTAGAACTGATTGCAAGAAGATCAAATAGGGATGGAAGGAGTATACTGAAATTCTATACAGTAGAGATGCCAATATCTAAGATACCTTAGAAGATATTATCTCCTTGCAAGAACCTCTAGAATTAGAAAATTAATTTACATCACTCATTACCAAGTCAGGCTACAGGCACTAATGGAATACCCAGAGAAATATGCCGAGCAACTGAAGATTTCAATAAGGGCTCTAAGCAAGCTTTGCCAGAATAGTTGAAGGATGACACAATGCCCATCAGATTGGAAGAGGTCAGTCTAATATCATTAGACTGATCCTTAGCAGAGGATGTGAACTATCATGAATTTTTAATTTCACATGGTAGCAAAATAATGTGTCAGGCCTGTCCCAGCTTGGATATTCAGGAAATACTTTTGACTCCATCTGTAATGAGAGGTATATTTCCACTGAAGGTAAGTAGCAAAGCCAGATCTGAGGATTTTGGGCACAACCTAGGTAATTTTCCCTTCTCCCAGGCCCTACCCACCTTGGCCATCTTGGTGGAGTCCAATAGGTGTTTTGGTAACAGTTTCACATTTGGCACCTATTTGGATGGGTGTTTCGCAGGCTTGTGTTCTTGGATCTTTCAACCATTGCTTCTGGATGGCACCTTTGATTCCTGTCATCCCCCTATCTTTCCACTGCCCATCCCCACATTTTATGGCAGGCTGCTATCAAAGCAAAGCTAAGCAGGGCTGAAGCTATTCGATTGCAGATCTGACACAACGGTTATGATTAACCAAGGCATATTATTTTGTTGTTGTTAGTTGCGAAGTCGTGTGTGACCCATTGTAACCAGATTGACAATGTTCTTCCAAGCCTTCTTGTTCTCTATCACCCTCTGAAGTCCATTTAAGCTCATGCCTACTGCCTCCTTGACTCCATCTCAATCTCTGTCATTCTCCAAATAGAAATCCCAGATGGTCAAGCCAGTTTTAGAAAGGGCAGAGACATTAGTGCAGATGTACGCTAAATAATACAGAAAGTCGAAGATTACTCCACATTATTTCATTAATTATATATGTCTTTTGATTGAATGTCCTTTGAAAAATGGGAATCCTGAAACATCTCACTGTCCTCATGAAAATGCTATACACAAGACAGAAGACAGGGTTACTCTACAACATGGACATCATCCAGGAAAAAAAATACCCACGTGGTTGGCAACGGCTTGATGGCAACCAATCAAAAAGCGATTAGTGTAGTGAAAACACAGAAATCACGGAAATATGTAGCAAAGCCTTTAATTGGCAACAAGAGTTTTGAGGGAAGGACAAGTAAACTCCCGTTTCCACCAGCCAGTTAGCTAAACTGCAAATCTCGCCCCCTGCCGGGGACTACGCGGCCAAAAGGCCAGCCAATCCCCAAGCTGGCAAAGGTGCAGCGATATCGCTCCGCCCAAAAAACTAACCCATTCTTTCTGATTGGCTAAGCCGTGCCGGGGAGACAAAAATCGCAGCGCGCCACATCAACTCTTTTCTAAGGTGAAGCCCTACCCATACGCGTTCCGCGGCGACAATCACCCTTGGCTGACGTCATTTTCATCCGTCGGCTCTTCGGTCGGAAAGCCTATCGGGAAGTTTTCGAAGGCGAATCCGAAGGCGTTCTTCGCCAAGTGTCGCAACGCTCTCTTTCTAAACCCTGCCTTCCCTCTCCTCCCGTGGCCGTAAGTCACACCCTTGGCTCTTAAAGTAGACGCGTCGTCCTTTGGGGGCCGAGGCGGAGTTGGGAGGAGGAGGAGGAGGAGGCGCGGCGCGTCTTCGCTTTCGGGTCCCCGCCCGCGCTTCCCCAGGCGCGGAGGAGCGTTCTGAGCACAACTTCCGCGAGAAGTATGCGCGTGAGAGGAGAGCGCGGCGGCTGCGGCGGCTGCGACTCCTCCGACCATGCAATGGCGGTCGTTGGTGTTGGCGCTGCTGGCCCTGAGACTGGCCGGACAGGCCCTCCTGTGGCTGGCGGGGCCCAGCTTCGGCTTCTACCAGCAGCGCCTCCGCGCCTTTTCCTGCGGCAGTCCGGCCAAGGAAGGAGACCCCTCCAGCTCGCGGTGCCTCAAAGCCCCTCACTGGGCCTCTTTCTTGGGACGAGCATGGGGAGGCGATAGCGGCGGCGGCGGTGATAACAACGGCGAAGGCGGCCGCGGGAAGAGACCCGGCCCCGCCGCTGCTGCTTCTTCCTCTTGGTCCCGCCGCAATGGCGGCGGCGGCGACGAGTATGAGCAGCGCTACAACCGGGCTTTCCCCCTTCAACTGCGGGCTCAGTTGCGCGACGCCGCCCGCAGCATGTTCTCTTTCGGCTACGACAACTATATGGCCCACGCTTTCCCTCAGGACGAGCTGAACCCCATCCATTGCCGGGGCCGCGGGCCCGACCGAGCCGACCCGTAAGTTGCCACGGAGGTGTTGAGGGGGCCGAGAGGGTAGATGGTTGCCCGCTTTGGCTCTCGCTTCCCCCCCCCCCCACTCCCGTTGTTTGTATTCTGGACGTGGGGTGTGGAGAAGGGGGGCATTATGTTAGTGGCATCCTAGGGGGAGGTAGCTGCCTCCTTGTCTGTAACTTAAATGGACAGTGAGTGATTTGGCTTTAGAAAGAAAGTTAATTAACTGCTGAGTTAATTACTGTGTGAGGTTCGTTGGAAGCACATTTTCAAAAGATAAGTGTAGCTTTTATCCTTTGGATTCAGTCATCTCTCCGTGGTTAATGTGTTTCCAGTTCATTACTATCCATTGCATATATAAGAACAATTATAAAATGCCCTGATTTAGGTATCGTACAATAGCAATAAAAGTCCCCATTAGTACGTGTACAAGAATCGCAGGATATGACCAGATGAAAGGTTACGATAGTGATAATAAAACAGAATTATTTTTTACTGAAGCCTTCCACTTCTTTGACATAGAAGGATTTAGTATAGGGCGACAACCATAATTCAATCGTCTTTTTCAAATACCTTTTCTTTCTTATATTTTATAGTCTAGCGTCTGACAGAATTATATTGAATTTGGTGATGGTATTTTGCATGTTGTTTATGCTTCTTAAGATCCTTGACCTTCTTGAAAATTGCATAAGCGTTGCTTCATTCCTCCCAAGAGGAATCTTTCTCAGGTGTAAATACTAAGCTTAGATGCTTTGAAAGTACTAATACTTTATTTGTATGCCTATCTCTTACAGCCACAGACTGCTTCTGAATAGTTGTGCGTGTATGGTGTGGTGCACTTTCTAGATTAACAAATTTAAGGGGACATGTCTCATATTTTGGGCAAGTCGATTTAAAAGCGAGTTTTATGACATCTTAAAAAAATAGTGTACTCTTTTCTAAATAATGCCAATCTAAGAATATAATACAAACCCTGATGGATAGTTCTATCTAATCTTCTCTTATAATTGCTAACCATAGTAATAATAAATAATATTTTGGGGAGCAATAAGCCATTCTTAGTGTAGTTTCAATTGGCATTGATATTGAGGACAGAGTATGTGTATAAAATCCATGGTAACCAGTAAGGCTGTTTAAATTACTTGGAATAATTATATCTGTACAGCAAAATCATGAGTAAAGCATTCATTATTTAAGTAGTTGTCTTTGCCAGAGGGTGGTAGGTCCACTTTAACAGCTGTTCCTGTGAATACATTCATAGAAGTGATCTTGTTGGAACTGCTAAATTAAAGCAAACTTCCAGAAAATGTATATTGCTCTAACGAAAAATAGCTATTGATAGTTGCTAGTTCAATATAGGCTTCCATGGCTATGTAATCCTTTGTTATATTTTGTAGTTTAATGGACATAGTATGATTGTTTTTGACAATCCTGAATGACTTTGTACTTCATTGGATGCTTCTAAACTTAGATGATATTTGAGAATAGGGCATTCTTTTTAAAAAAAGCATATTTTTACACATACTAGCTTTTTCTTTATTTTTAGCAGCTGTAAAATCTTTTTGCTAATCTTGGTGATTAATATTGCACATTTCACTTTACATGTGAACTAGTATTGTAATGCATATAATATTGGCAGCCTTTTTTAAAAGTGTGTTAATTTATCCTTCCATGTGCATTCCATTTTATTTTGTAACAATGATATTCATTTACCATTTTATTTGCAGTTTTGAAATATTCTTCTGAAACCACTTGTGTTATTTTTTGCTTTTAGTAATCTTAAAACATTAAAGCCATCACCAAATGTAGCCCTATCACTTTTCATCCTTAACTTTAGAAATGATTCATGAACACCTTAAAAAGTCCCAATACATTGAGAGCCATATAGCCATTAGTTTCTCAAAAAATGCACAGCTGTTGCTCGTTCCCCCCTTCCTGATTATATAAGATATGAATTCTTAGATCGCTACAGATTTTAAATAGTTTCTAAATAGAAAATATTTGCAAAATGGCAGTTTTGCAAATATTTGCAAAAATAAAACTTTTTATGGAAATAATAATATATATCTGTAATCAGTTTTCATCTGACACAAATGGTTACATATAGAAATAATGTGAGGTTGACTTCCATATTTGATCTGAACAAAGATTCTTGGAACACGTGGAAATCATTCAGATTTCGTAGTGGACTTAATTTTATTAAAAATTCTTCAAAAATATGGCTGTTTATTAGAAGTGCATTTTGTAAATTTGAACATTTATTAGAAATAAGGTAATATAATGTGCTGTCAATGTTATCCATGCTATTCTTTAGATAGTATAATTGTGCCTATTTTCAAACATATGTGTCATTAAGCAATACAGTTCTCTGATTTCTGCAGTCATTCTTTCCAAATAGCCTAGATTAATCTGATTATCGGATTAGACAGATTATTGTAATTAGCATAATAGGCAGGTAACATGCACACGTGTATGTGTGAATATAATGATATATGTTGTGCAGCGAAATATTTCTGTAATCTCAAATTTTTGCAGATTAGATTTATATATAGTCTTGTGTCTTTTAACAGTATTTCTGATGTTATCCTGTTAGAATAATTAAACATTAAGTAAATATTAACATTTTCTAAATAGCAAACTCGCATTTTGGTTATTTTTTCTAGGTATGTATAAAATCCCCAGTGTTCTTGGATGATTGTCTTTTTTTTCAGGACAGATGTTCTTTCTATATTTTTCATAGAATTATCATAGATTAACTATAGCTCTTTTTTAAAAAAATCAGACTACAATTAATTATAGACCATTTCCAGGGAAGTAAGTTCCATTTCTTGAAAAAAAAATCTAAATATGATTAAATATCATGTTGTCTATAGATATTTTTCTGCAAAACAGTTATTCTTAATCATTAATATTCTAAATAGAAAGTGTTTGCTGTATTAGAGTAAAAAATGAGGCTTTTTGCAAAAAATAATTGATGTCAGGGCTATATGGTATTTACATCAATTTTTACTTTAGAAAATTTACTTACAAGTCACAACAGTCATTTATAGCACTTCCTGCAGCTCCAAGCTTGAGCATAACATAAATATTTCATATTTTCTAAAATCATGTAATGTGCTGTATAATATGCAGCCTACTCAAGAACAGTGCAAAAAGTCTTAGGCCAGTTTGTAGAGAAAAAATCTCCCATGTTTAGAGAGTTTAGCATCCATTTTTAAAGGAACTTTATTTTTACAATGATAAGATGCTATTTGGGCTGAGCAATAGGTTTTTGCTTCAACTATTTTCTACAGGAAAAAGATACTTTTAGGGATAAATAACTCTGTGCTGTAAGATGAGTCCAATTTGAGTCCACTTTTTCCATAGGTCATTTTGGCTAAAATCACCTAGTGGAGAGTCCAATACTTGTATATTGGACTACATTAGCTGTGATATAAATAATAGATTATTGTTTAAAATACCATAGGTATCCAGTTTCTAAAATCAGATTTGCTGAATCTACTGAGTACACTTGAGTACTCCTTTTAATCATAATTAAAACTTCAGTGGAAATAAGTGTCAGCTACTTTGCTCTTGTAAGTTTCGTGCCATGATATTAATATACAATTCCAAACATAGTGTGTCTACAAAGTAAATAAAGGTGGGATAAAAGTCAAATAAATGAAAGTGTTAATAAATAAATGAAAATATTAACACTATGAAAGTGTTAATATTATGTTTAAATTATATAGCTGCAGCTGCAATCTTATCCCCTTATTTAAGAATAGTTCCCTTAAAATTCTTTGGGATGTTCTTCCAGTTAATGGTATGCAGAATTAGGCTATATCACTGAAAATTTACCTAAGTCTTTTTAAATTTGGTTGAACTAACTTTAATGAAATTTATTTCAGTTCAAATCTGAATATCAATGATGTCCTGGGAAACTACTCGCTTACTCTGATTGATGCATTGGATACCCTAGCAGTGAGTTAAATCTATTTTTTTTATTTCTGAAAGGAAAAACAAGTACTAGCAGAAATATATATATCAAATTTCGCAAAAATATCTTCATTAACACAGTGCCCAATCCCTCAATTTTGTAATCTAGAAAATTGCTAAAGAAGATTTTTCTAGGCCAACATTGACAACAGTCCTGATCTTGCAAAGTTATGAGAGGATCCCTTTCTTTAGCTTGTAATAGGGAGGGTTTCCCCCATCTCCCCATTCATGCTTGGCTTGAGAAATAGGCTTAAGCAAGAAGAGATTCTTTTCTGCATGCCACAGATTTAAGAAATAGAGACGTTTGAAGCAACCACGAATTTTACAATTAAAAAGTTTTGGCACAGAGGTATTGTTGTTAGGTAGTTTTATACTTTAATTAATTAGGTAATTTAGTACTTTAAAATATTAAATATACTTTAAAATATTGCTTTTCTATTCCATGTTATGTTAAGTTCCTTGCTAGCAGAGGTAGGGGAGAAATTATTTCAGTTCATATTTTAAGGTAAAGCTAATCATTTTATATTTCTCAACTAAGCCACATTTAGTATTTTATATTAATAGATTTCCAGGTTTTGTAATGGAGCTATATGAACAAAAATAATAGACAAAAATAATAAAGAAATATGTAGTTGTAACAGCAAAACTATGCAGGTGGCCCTTGGTATTTGTGGTTCCATGGCCCATGACTTTGTTTAGCATTGCTAAAAAGGCACCAACTTGTGGTAAAAGTTTTCATTTATCTGCAGCTTTGCTTTGTGTTTTTTTGTAACAGTCTTCCAATATTTGAAGCACTGTTAACAGAGAAGAGCGGGTCAACCTATTCTCCAAAGCACCTGAGGGCAGGACAGAAAGTAAAGGATGGGAGCTTTATCAAAGAGAGATCCAACCTAGAATTAAGGAGATTTCCTAAGAGTAAGAACAATTAATCAGTGGAATGGCTTGCCTTCAGAAGTTGTAGGTGCTCCATCACTGGAGGTTTTAAAAAAGAGATTGGACAGCCATTTGTCCAGAATTGTATAGGGTTTCCTGCTTAAGCAGGGAGTTGGACTAAAATGCATCCAAGATCCCTTTCAACTCTGTTATGTAATTCTGAAAAATGACTGAAAGGCTTTGCATGTACTGTATAATAAAATACATTTTTCAGGGTTTCATTATATGGTTCTTTGGCTGGAATAAAGGCACACATAAGAGGACCATTTAATTATTAAAGGGAATGTTGTTTATAGAAACATTAAGAAAAAATATCACACAAGGTTAATGTTTTAGAGCAAATGTTCATAACTGCATAATTTTTGTAGGTGTGAATTTTAAGAAAAAAACATAATGAGGCAGGGATTGCTTAGCACTTAAAACTGGAAAAGTGAATTGAAATTGACAGATTTGTCCAGCTCTTCAAATAAATCATATTGAAATAATAGATTTTATTGCAAGCTGATCATTTGACTTTTTTAACCTCAATGTTGTTAGGAAATCTGTTCTAGCTGTGTGCCTATCACTAAATATTTTATCATGTTATTAAGTACTTTTAAAATACATGTTACGCATTTAATCCTGCTTTCTCCCCCTCTCTCCCTGCCTCTCTGCCCTTCCCCTTCTCTGCTGTCGCTAGTTAAGTTAAAATAGTTTTTGTAAATTAACACGTGATTCCTCTTTGTATTGTTTTAACCTAATGGGTTCACTATTGTCTGTAACAGTATCATAAAACACTTTGTAGAAAATCTTGATAATAGAAATATAGATTGTCTTTGACTTATGACCAATTGTTTAATAATACCTTCAAAGTTATGGCAGAAACGAAAAAGTTAATTATGATCCATCCTCAAAGTTCTAACTGCTGCATCACCCCCTCAGTGATGTGATTGCATTCCAGGCGCTTGACAACCAGCTGATATTTACGACTGATTGCATTGTCCCCCATGGTTATGTGATCGAGTTTTGTGGCTTTTTTTGCCCTTTTCCATTAAAAAAAAATTCATCTGCTAAAGTGGATTAGGATTTACTACCACATGGTTTGCTTAATCAGGGAATTTGCTTAATGGTCATGTGATTCCTTTTATTGCCACCATAAAATAGAATCCTATTATGTAATGACTTAAAGAAAGTTCTGGGCTTAATTGTGGTCATAAGAGTGGATTTCTTTTATATTTTGATGACATTAATTGCAGATATTTAAATTTGTTTTTCAAATTTAACAATTTTGGTATAAAAATGTGCGGGGAGTTTTTTCAGATCTTTTTTCTTTTTCTTAAAGGTAATGGGAAATTCTTCAGAATTTCGGAAAGCAGTGAAGCTTGTGATCGACACAGTAACATTTGACACAGATTCAACTGTCCAAGTGTTTGAGGCAACAATTAGGTAAGATGTTGCTGAAATTTGACAATACTGAATATGAATAATACATTCAAGAAACTCTGAAACAAAATTTATTCTGCTTGCTCTAACTGATGAGATTCACACTATCAGTTTCATAAAACAATAAATTTAAAGCAATTCATATTATGGTTTAATAACTTGGGTGTATAATTTATAAATTATAACTTGACTAGTTCTTTTAATGCAGCTGCGCATCCAAATCAAAGTAAAGTTTTGCTCTCCTATTTGGCTCAGAATTATCCAATAAGATGATATATATTCTACCTGGCAACTATGAAATGCAGGATTAAGGGACAAAGTCAGAACTTTATGATTAAGAAATACTTGTTTTGAATGGATTTAAATCTCCAAGAATGCATGAATTACATTTATAAGTACTGAAGGACCTTGTTGCCTGAACCTTTATTTAATCTTTGAGAAATCTTAGAGAATGAGCAAGGCCAATGTAATTCTTTACCTTCAAAAAGGAGATAAGGAAACCAAAGAAGGATTCTTGTAGATGAAATAATATCTGGGTAAGATTTATTAGGCTTTAAACTAAATACTATAAGGATAGAGGTAGAAACCCTGAGGTAAGCACCACTGATAAACACTTTTATATTACAGAAAGTGAAAGCTGAAATGTCATTTTTAAATCACTCACCTCAAAAAATTAAAGTAAAAAAAGAACATGGATTCATAAGGCATGAACTGTGAATGGTACAATTTGTAAGACAAAATAATAAAAGAGGAAGGAAAGTGCACTCTATGATTAAAAATATTGATTCACAGAAATGTGTATTAATGAACATGAAATGCTGTCAAGAGCATTTATGTTACAAATAAGATGAGGAACAAATGAAAACAATACTGTAACGTCTCATATCACTTTCCCATTCAAGAAAATGTGAGTTCTTCCAAAACCAACTTGCGGTTCTTTCAAAAAATTATCATTTGTAGCAATGGGAGACGTCAATTGTTCTGACATAAGTTAGAGCCGGTTCTATCAAACATTATCTTTCTAGGAGTTCCCTTTTTGTTGACGACGGCATGCTCCATCAGAGGTTGGAGAAAGGCACAAGAACTTTTAGGGTGTTTCTATTGCTTTATTATGCTTTTCTGCCTTTAAAAATTCTTATTGCTGTGTTGAGATCTATTGATATAGACTATACATACATTGCCTTACTGCTAATATGTGTGATCATATGTTTGATCGTAATTCTGTTATTTCACAGATATTGTCTCAATTAAAATAATAACTGATATAATTTCTTTTAGGGTTTTGGGAAGTCTCCTTTCAGCCCACATAATAATTACAGATACCAGACAGCCTTTCGGTGATATGACTATTAAGGGATATGATGATGAACTGCTGCATATGGCTCATGACCTGGCAGTAAGGTTATTGCCTGCCTTTGAGAATACCAAAACTGGAATTCCTTATCCAAGGGTATGTGTAGAACAATTGCCAATTTTCAGGCAAAGGAAATTCAGTCTTTTAACCCAAAGTGTAACATTTAACTTTGTCTTTTAAATGTTCTATGTATACTTGTTCCTCTTAGCACTATCTACAAGATCAAGCTGAATTTGTCACTATCATTGTTTTAATATATTTTGGAAAGCAAATTTTGTAGTAAATATATTGAATGAACTTAGGTTTCCTCAAGGATTTCAGTGTTCTGATTTCTTGATGGCTAAATATTGACATGGTCTAAATATCCCTTTAAGATCATTTCCCTATGGAATATGATGCAAGTTCATGACAGAGCACTGATGAAACGTCTGTCACTAACTTTGAAACTTCAAAAGATAGTAATACAGATGCTTATTCCTTAGTAAGCTTGTATTTAAACCTTCATATCTTTGCAGGTGAACTTAAGGACAGGAGTTCCTTCTGGAAGCAATAATGAGACTTGCACTGCGGGGGCTGGATCATTACTGGTAGAATTTGGAATTCTTAGTCGGCTTCTTGGGGATTCAACTTTTGAGTGGGTTGCCCGTCGAGCTGTAAAAGCCCTCTGGAACTTAAGGAGCAATGACACTGGGTTACTAGGTACTTATCTTTTTTCCTGGATATCATTCATATCACTTTTTGGTTTGTATTGTTCTGATAGCTGAACCTTCATATTCTTATCGATATGAGAGCAGTATCTTTCACCGCTGAATTAACTAGATCTCTAGACATTTCCAATTACTTGGGATATTAAATTAATCATTACTTTAATCTTATTATTTATATTAGGTTTTTTTTTAGTGTGTGGCACATGTTAGCTATGGATCACCGAGGTGGCTGGCTGCTCTGTGAAAGGATTTTTTTCGGGTGGTGTTATTTTTTACCTGCGGGATGCCTGGATGCAATCAGGGGAGGCTCTTTTCTTGTCCCTACGCGATTTATTCGCTCACGGGAATTGAGCCACCAACCTCAGCGTTGCACGGGCCCAGTGTCTTACCATGTGAGCCACCGCGGCCCCCTATATTAGGTTGAAAATAGTTCTAATCAAATGGAACTTCTAATCAAATGGAATAAGTTCATTCCTGTTATTTGTATTTTCCATTTATTTGAGTTTTTTGAGTTCAAAAATCAGTTTTGGTGGTGTATTTGAGAGTAGTTTCGAAACACCTGAAATCCAGCATGCATTCTTATTTTTAAAAGATCCAGAATTGTAATAAACACTGATACTGTGGCAACCATTTCTGAAACATTGCAATATATTTGTGGATTCATATAGCACATATTTGAATTTTGAGTCAATATGGTTAGTAAGACTGATTCTGATGTTTTTTAGGAGTCTGATCTTTTCTGGACAAATTAGATGAATATCCATTATTTAGAAAAATAAGATAAAATGATTACATTTAGATATAATTCATATGTTGTGTGGACATTGGAAAATATAAGTTCATATTGCAGTATTGGATATTTTAAAATATAGCATAAAAGCATAAGTAAAAGGCATATGTAAATTTACACACACACAACATATCTCTTAGAGCCAAGGTGGCGCAGTGGTTAAATGCAGCACTGCAGGCTACTGCTAGATCAGCAGGTCAGCGGTTCAAATCTCACCGGCTCAGGGTTGACTCAGCCTTCCATCCTTCCGAGGTGGGTAAAATGAGGACCCAGATTGTTGGGGGCAATATGCTGACTCTCTGTAAACCGCTTAGAGAGGCCTGAAAGGCCTATGAAGCGGTATATAAGTCTACTGCTATTGCCTATTGCCTATTGGATCAAATAGACATCAAAAATTATTTTTTATACCTTATGTTAAAGCACATTTCAAGATTTCTGTTCTTGTTGGGAGTTTGAATTTAGAAAGAACCCTTGTTAGAATTCATGCTTTTGAGTGCATGTTGAATACTGAATAATTAAGTAGCAGAAAATTCCATGAAAAAGAAAAATATGCCCAATATATTGAATCTTTGCCTTGGATTTAGAGTATGGACTTAGTCCATCTGTCAGTTAATGCTAACAAACCTTCAATATGCTAACAGACCTTCAAAGTAAAGACTTATTTCAGAGTATGATTTGTACTTTTGCATATATGTGTAATTTGATTTATACTGTTGAGTTTTATTATGTACTGATATTTGATGGCAATAAAAATTATAATTACTTTAAGAAATACACAGGGTAGAAAATTCTCTTTCTACTTAAACTATATCTAGAAAAGAAGAAAACGTGAGACATGGAGAGAGTTGTTTTTTGTCTAAACACTTATTTAACTAGCAATATGCGAGATGAGAACTGTCTTTTCCTGTCAGAACAGCTCATAGGTGCAAAGAGATGACTCAATCATCAGCAATTCTTAACTGTCCATCCTGATAATAGATAGCTGATAAATAGCTCATCTAGTTCTGAAATCTTTTGTGACTCATTGTTGCAAATAACAAAAAAGCCAATGGGTTTTTATGCTCTGGGTTCCCCTAAGCTATAGGACAAGGTGTGTCTACAATCCATTCCTTAGGTCAGGTTGCTATAAATGAGTCATGGAGAATCATGCAATAGAAAGTAAACCATAGATATGTAGAATGAAATACACATCTAAAGCTAGAACTATATTGTTTCTAGTTCTCAGCAAATCATATTTTTCTGTCTTAAATTGATTGATTGCTAAATCAAATTAATAAATGTAAAGGTTTCTAATTGGAATTTTTAAAAAGGCCTTATGTGAAATCCTCTAAATAATAGGCTTTCTACCCATCTATATCCACTGACTAAAAAAGAAGGTTCTGTGATTGCATAGAAGCTTTTCTAAGTTGACATAGAATGAAGGTCTTTTTAAATGATTAATTGCCTTCCCTTCCCAGGAGGTTGAGTTGTGCGTGATTGACTGTAAACAATTGTAGAAAGATGAATTATCTGTAGATGGAAGCTTCTGCTGACTTAGATAATTTATCAATGGAGTGGAGAAATTAGATGTAATCCAATGTTAATGCAGCTTTGAATTTGGTTTTATCTTTTTTTTATAATATTGACAATTGTACAGATCAAAAATCTCTAGTGTGATGTTATAGATGTGATGCCTGCTAGATTTTCTGCTTATGTCCAATAATACCTTCTCTAAAGTTGTTTTCCTTTACAGCAAAACATATGAAACAGCCATAGCTTATTTATTCTTTGTCTCTTAAAATAATACTTGTGTTTATTATTATTACTATTGATGCTGAAAAATACATTAAGTAGATTGGATTACATTTTTTATGTAGTGAATTATCTGCCAATTTTAATCTAAAATAGTAAACTCATAATTTCCTTTCAGAATCACAGAGAAATATATTAATAAAGAATATGGTTTGATAGTTGGCCATATATAATGCACTTCATATATTTAAGTAAAGTGAATAAGGTGTTTACTTATCCAAAAGTATTCATATTTGAATATTTTGAATATCTTATTGTACTCAAAATTATGCTTGTTTTTAATATTTAGGTCCTGTGTGAATTTCTACAAATAGATGTTCTTTATTTTAGTATTGTACAAATATGGGGATTTTATTCTCCCCTGAGAGTTGTTTAATTGAATTATGATTTAGATATGTGCATTTATATTTAAGTAATATTCTCTTTTCTCTTTCTCCCTTTCTCTTTTCTTGCTTCATAGGTAATGTTGTGAATATTCAAACTGGCCATTGGGTAGGAAAACAAAGTGGCTTAGGAGCAGGCTTAGATTCATTTTATGAATATCTTTTGAAATCATATATCCTCTTTGGAGAAAAAGAAGATTTAGAAATGTTCAATGATGTTTATCGGAGTATTCAGAACTACTTAAGGCGAGGGTACGTGAATTATGGGTGCTATTTTTAAGTTACTATAACACTGTTTGGAGAGCCAGTTTGATGTAGTGGCTAAAGCATCAGTCTAGAAACTGGGAGACCATGCATTCTAGTCCTGCCTTAGGTACAAATTCAACTGGGCGGACTCGAGCCTGTTGCTCACTTTCGGAAGAAGATAGTAACTTGCATAACAACTTGCATATATCTTGCCAAGAGAACCGTGAGGACTACTCAAGTTACCAAGAGCCAACGATAATGTTGGCTCTTGAAGGCAATAAATAAATGACCATTGAGTGGCAGAAAATATGAAATGGATTGATTCCTTCTATGTTATAAGTAGTCCTTAAGTTAACCATTTGTTCAGTGAACAAAGTTACAGTGATACTGACTGAATGATATTTATATATGGTATCCAAAGTAATAGAGGTTGCAGCACTCCAGTGGTTACATGATCAAAATTTAGGTGCTTGGCAGCTGCCCATACTTTACAACCAGGAAAGCGCTTCAACTCTGCCTCACCTGTCCATCACTCCCCCATCTGTGCCTTTTTGATCCCAACAATATGTGCCCCCTGCCACCCTGTACTCTTCTGACCCCACTGATCTTTGTCATAATCTTGCTCCAGCTTTTGACAAGATGGCCATCCTGGCCCTTTGCTGGGCAGCTGCTGGCCACCCAAGGCTTTCAACTTGAGGTTGCACATGGTGGTTTTCTCAAGAGATCTCAGGAAACAGACCTCATGTGACCCACCACTGCCCCATTAAGGGCATGGCCCAGCAGCAGGAGGAGTAAGAAGTGGTAAAAGTCAGCTGGAATGGCGGAATACAAAGCAGCAGGGAACTTATGGTGGTCTGGGTGGCTGCAACTGGGCCAAGTTGGGGCTTCTTGAGGTGGGTGCAGCTTCAAACCATGTTACAGTGTACCAGATTGGGCTGTCTAGTTCCATGTCATCCTGCTTGGCTAAGTTGGGGCAGCTGCGGCCTCAGGTGTCTCAGAGGCTTCTGGCATGAACCATGAAACCACTGAGATTCAGCATGGCAAACAATCCCAGAACCATGTGATTCTGGACCTATTTGCCTAATTGCAATGTATGTTGTAGAACAGCAAAATAGCGGAAGTGGTGGTGGTGGTGAAATAGGCAGTTGAGGAAGTTGCAAGGGAGGTAGATCCTCAACTTGGAAGAATCAAAGTTCAGGTTGGGAGGGATCAAGCCAGGAACGACTTTGATTGGGATGGGTCCTCGGCTCATGACTAGTAGAATTGGGCTAGTTATGCCAGGATTGCTATCAAAATGATGCAGTTCCAAGAAAATGGAGGTTTATTACCATATTGCTTAGCAATGAAAATTCTCATCCTAATTGCTGTACTAAGTCAAGGATTATTTGTATATTATTTCACTTTTGATTTCTGAAGAAAACTTATATATTTTAGAATATTTTGTTAAAAATTGTGAATTAACTTTTCCTTCCAAACCATATTTCTTTTGGCCTTGCCTCTTATTGACATTATTTCCCTACAGTTTTCATAGACATATTACATTATACACGTAATAAAATGCAGCCCAAAGTCAGAAGAAAAGTGTCTATATTGTCTAATTCTTAGTAAGTGTACTAATAAGGGTACCCACAATACTTAGTTAGTGTATTAATATTTGTTGGGCTTTTAATTGTTCTCATCATTTCTTGCCCCATACAGTTAAGGTACATCTCAGGGGTTGGAGCTGTATTAGATACTATTAATACTGTATAATATAACATGTAGTTTGATTTTAATAATGCTCAATACTTATTACAATTTTTGGTATAGTCCTTGCATTGAGTGGTAGAGAATTAAAAGAAATACCATTTGATATCTTCTTTGAACCAATGAATATGCATGCTTGTTGATATAGTGCCTTGAGTTAGGACTTGATTTCCAGTTACCCAGTTTTCAGAACGGAAATTTTAATACCTGTTAGGACTATTAATTGCACTAACAACAATAATACTAATTTAACTTGCCTGCAACCTTAGTGATTCTGGGTGGCTCATAAGCAAAGAAATTACAGTCAAAATAATAAAACATAAAAGATGAAGATTAAAAGATGGCACTTACAATGAAATGAGTCTCTCCTATTGGGTGATATCTGGGTAATCACCCTGTATAGATTGCATGCCGTTTGATCATAGGAACTAGAATAATGGATAATTCAAATAATTGTTCCTCGCTTGCCTTCAAATATTGGTGTGAAACATTGTACATTATTTTTCATAGGAGGGAAGCCTGCAATGAAGGTGAAGGAGACCCACCTCTTTACGTTAACGTTAATATGTTTAGTGGTCAGCTTATGAACACCTGGATTGATTCTCTTCAGGCTTTTTTTCCTGGACTTCAGGTATTTCTTCTGTAGTGGAGAGAAAATAGGAAATTTGAAATTATATATATATAATTGTCCCTAGGGAATGTAATGGTGCTTCCCACCAAATTATTTAATTTTGGGGATGCTTTACTTCCCATCAATGCAAATAAATCATGATATTGCTTTACTTATTTACATAACGAAAATAGCATATGGATGTCTCAGAGTGGTATTTTCAACTTGCTTTAGGATGAAATAATAACCCTAACTCTACTCTGAGTCATAATAAAGAATGTGTGTCAGGGTTCCAAATAACACCCCCAATGAAAAAAGACTCCAAGGCTTGAGTTTCCTCTTCCTTATTAGAGATGTCATATTGGCACATCTGGGAAAACCTGAATCTGAACGTTTCCAGGTTTCCCCCACCCAAGTGAAAGTTCAATTCCTTGCCCAGCACCCACACATCCATTGCATGATCCAATCAGGCACTGTTCAAAACTTGAGATGCCTCCCAGTCAGCTGCAGGGCAAGGTGGCCTTGACTTTCTGAGAAAGAACATTATTTTGGCTATATATAACCCACACTCTGTATAATCCCCTCTCCCATTTCCTCACACTAGAAAATGTGGCATGCCTGAAGTCCCACAGGTAAAAGATGGCTTCCAGGTCTGAAATATTGTGCATTCCATCTTAATAAAATCAACTGTTCAATTTAATGTAGAAAGTTTTATTTTTGTTATTTTGCTTCAGGTTTTAATAGGTGATGTAGAAGATGCCATTTGCCTTCATGCATTTTATTATGCAATATGGAAACGATATGGTGCTCTTCCAGAGAGATATAATTGGCAGTTACAAGCACCTGATGTTCTTTTTTATCCTCTAAGGCCCGAATTAGTAGAATCTACGTATCTCCTATATCAGGTATTTAACCTTTTTTTTCAAAGCATGATTTTGAAATACAGTAAGTTATTCATTAAACATAAAATCTGTATTATGTTTACTGCTGAGATGTGACCTTTTGCACATTTTAGAATTGGTCCTCGGCTACTTTTTATATATATAATAAGGATTCAAGTCTTTGTTAGGCCAGAATAGACCAACACTTGAAAATAGTGCATAAAGAATTAGAAAGCTAATTGTAGAAATTTCAGCACAAAGCCTTTCTGTACTGTTAGCTCTGTGATCTGTGGATTGGACCTCTATCTCTGCTGGTTAGTGAAAGATGCTAGGACAGTGATGGGAGGCTAGAGGTGGCTGATGGAAAATATATCCTTGAAGAGAGTTGTACCCTGCTCCAAAATAAAAATTGTGTGGCCCAACTATTTTGGATATTTATCAACTAGTATCCACTCTTTTTTAGGGAAGATTGCTGAGCAGGTTGCAGAACATCCAGGATTAGATGGATTATTTTTAGTTGAGATTCAGGCATGGGTGTGAAGCTGAAACCAGCTTAATCTTAATTAATCTTAATTCAACTCTCGTGATGCTTTTAGACTTTTCAATGGTTTCTTGATACCCTAACCACAATATTCTTTAAAATGCCCTTTCACTGAAAGGGTTGGAAGTGGGTGGCACTCTATTGCCAAAGATGTTCCAGTGAATTATTTTGGAGGCTGTGTTATGGTATTGTTTATAATAAGTTTATGCAATTTTTGCATGAACTGAATGTTCTTCTGTTTCTTCAGCTTCTTTGCACAGTCTGCACTTTGAATCATTTGGTTGATTTTCAGTTCTGGCATCGATTGCATTAGTTCAGATAGCTTGCTTTTGCACAGCCAAAATCAAGCTTCCTTTTCTTTTTTTAATGTTATATGATCATATAGCACCATTTCTTACATTTATTTCCTTTCTTTCATTAGGCCACAAAGAACCCTTTTTATCTTCATGTAGGAATGGATATTCTTCAGAGTCTGGAGAAATATACTAAAGCAAAGTAAGTTTTCATTATAAATTACTAAATCCTTGCAGAACTGAACTATGTTGTTGTGACATAATTCAAATATATATACCTTCATAATGTTGACCTAACAATTGAATTTGAAATCCCATGTGTGCTTACATGATATAAGTCCTACTAATTTAATGTTGAGTGAATATGTAGAATTGCATATGTTTTATTAGAAAGACTAATAGGAGTGCTTGGAACTGTGTTAAGTGTTTGAAAAAGAAATATTTTAGACATACAGTAAATAAACCAGGTTTTTTCAGTTCTGATCTTTACCTCATAGGAAATCATTCTTCCTTTTTTAAAATGTTTTTGAATATAACATATAAAACTAGTAGTATGACCCTACACTTGAATTATTACGGTTGTTTGCAGGTACTTCTGATGCCTAGGTTTCACCAGAGAATATGAAGTTTTGTGAGATTTTTGTTCATTTTTTCCAACTTGATTAGAAAGTTGCTGCCATACCATATTATACAGCTGGATTTCTGAGAGAAACACAAGATGTTTCAGTTGTTGCAGTATCTCTGTTCTCAAAAGAGGCAGTAGTTCTGTTTCTTTTCTTCATTGCTGTTGAATCTCTGGTCTGACTTTGTAAAATTGAGAGCTTCAGAGCTAACTGGAGAAAAACTATGCTACCCAAATTGCGAGCTCTTTATAAAGCAACTATCTTAATTTCTTAGACCTTTGCTATGGAGGTTGAAGCTAAAAAGGGGATGAAAAGTGTTCAATTCTGTTTTTCAGATGTGGTTATGCTACTCTTCACCATGTAATAGAGAAATCCAAAGAAGATCGGATGGAAAGTTTTTTTCTCAGTGAAACATGTAAATATTTGTTTTTGGTAAGTATGCTTCATAGGAGCACTTTTTCTTTAAAACAAACTTTATTTACTAGAACTGCAATTAGGAACACATTTTTGTTATAGTAAAATACATTTTAATGTTTCTATGTATATTAAGTATGTTGTTATTAAAATGTTAAACCAAGAATGTGCATAATAAATACCGATACTTTAATGGAACTTTGCTGTCTGATGTACACTATTACTTGATGTATATTCCCTCCATTCAAGAACCAGTGAACTACACCACTGACCAATGCCCTGTGCATCCCATATCTGAAACTATATCCCAATTTCTGAGGATCCAGACAATTTGTTTTCTAAAAGACCTTTGCACCTACCCGCTACCCATTTTATCTAAAAACCTTTCCTAAAAAGGGAAGGTTGACATGGCTGAAAAGAGAAATTACTCTTCAATTACAGGCCTACATTCTCAAAAATCCAGGCAATCACACTTCTCCTTGCTGCCTGAAAGAAATACAGAGGGTAAAGATCCAAGTCACTGAGCTCACAGTGGAGAATTCTGTCCTCTTCATCAAGTTCTTTGAATTCTGGTCACCTCACAAGATTCTGCTTGAATTACTTACTTAACTTAGAATGACACTAATGATAATAATATGATGATAATGCTACAACATACCTCATAAATTACATACATCAAGTAATAGCGTATATCTGTTTTTTAGATTACTCCATAATACTTGACACTATTACCCATGGTATCCATCTGGATATCTAAAAAGATTGAGAATTGGGCTGTGTTCTTTAGTTCTGAAAATTGGTGGTTCTAGTTGATATTGCGGTGAGAGAATTAATTGATCCAATGGCTCCCTGGATGTTGGATACAACAGTGCTTGGTGTTACTTAATGTTTTTATAAAACCTCTGGTAAAAGTAAATTATTTAGAGGTGAGATCCCATGAATATGAAGATATCTGCATCTACTTTTAAGTTGAGCAGGAGTTGCTAAGGTTATTCTGCTCCAGTGTTTGGAAGCTGCAAAGTTCTGGAAGGGACAAAACAGGCTGCAATTGAATCCCAATAATAACATACTGCTTGTTTGCCTAGAGAACAGCAAGTTGGGACAAATGGAGAGCAGGAAGTGACTTTGAAACTAGGTAGTTTCAGTAGTTTCTCTCTCCCTGGTGAATATGGCACCTATATTATGTATTGCATTTGCAGCCCTATCTTTTCACAGAGCAATCAAAAAATATTTGAAAGAACATTTAGAGGTAAAGAGCCATTTTGTGTATTGTTTTTAGTTCCTGTGTGATTTTTTAATATTTTGCTTATTACAATATTATTATTGTATCATAAGGCATCATCAGGTATTTATGAGTTTTTGATCTCCCACAGTCTCTGGAGTGAAATGAGATAGAAATATTAAAAAATAAATAATATCCTCACACTTGGAGTATTACATTTATATATTCTTAAATTTCAGCTGTTTGATGAAGAAAATCCTGTGCACAAATCAGGCAATAAGTACATGTTTACCACAGAAGGACACATAGTATCACTGGATAAGCGCCTTCGTGTTTCAGTAGGGCAAAATACCTCCCCTCAAGAGCAGAAAAAACCCGGAAAGATAAAGCCAAATGAACTAAAAGTAAACAACTCCATTTGTAATGTAAGTATAGGCCAGTTTCTTACATAGTTTGAATCTAGAAGTTTGGTACAGCCGTTGTCTGATAATCTATTTAATAGGCCTAAGTATATTATCTCTCTTCCATTGATAATGCCAGATACAGTATGAAAGAGTTAGAATAACAAAATCACAAATTGATGGAATTGTAAGGATATACTTGAAGCTCGGTCCTTTGTAGAATCAAGACACTATCTTGATCACTAAGTATTCCACCTTTATCCATATTGTATATGGCAAGGGTGTCAAACTTGTGTCGTCACATGACATATCACAACTTTTCCTCTTTTCGTTAAAATGGGTATGGGTGTGGCCACTCTGTGATGCCATGAGTTTGACACCCCTGATATATGGTATTCAAGCCAGAGTGGTATAGTGGTTAGACGTTAGCCAGAAGCTGATTGGGTGACTTGGAGCTAGTCATTCTAACCCATTTCACCAGGTGGTTATTTTAGAAAACACTATATATTCTGCCTGAATAAATAGGTGCAATAGTAACAACTTCTCCAAGGTATGTTAAATAAGCTAAATGAATTAAAATTGTATACTGGTCTAAGCAGGTTTTCCATTATTTTAGCATACAAATTCAATATTACACATGCTTTGAGATTATTTAAGATTCTGGATACACAGCAGGGTACTGTTTGTAAAGTGACCCAAGCTATTTCACATTTGTGGACATTTTTAAAAAGAGGCTGCTTTAATAAATAGCAAAGAAGAGTGTTTGCATGAAGGGTGAAGTAGTACTTTGGAATCAGTCTTAAAGCATGCATAGTTCCAATAAATTCTTATTATTCTTATTGTTGAGTGTTTTAGGGAGATTCTTTTTTGACAAAATGGTTTTTGTCGAAGTGAACTTTAGAAAATTTAAATATCTCCAATTTGAACTTAAACAAATATCTATTTACAGTGTAACAGAGTACCAGATGAGAGAAGATACCTGCTGCCTTTGAAGAGCATTTATATGAGACAGATAGATCAGATGGTGGGTTTGATCTGAATAGTTGTGAAATAATGCTAAGAAGATGCAAGACAACATCTCATTTGAAGATTATGTTCCTCTTGAATTACAAGGCTAACAGCAAATGCAGGTGCTTAAGTAGTCACCCATTGTATTGAGAGTTTGATCTCTTGTTGAAAAGAGCATTCCATGTTAGATTGCAGTTATTGTAACTGAAATGGAGTAAAACGTGGCGTAATACAAATTAAGATCTCATGCATCAAACTTCACAGCTCATATTGCTGATAGTTAAGATTCCTTTAGTGGCTTGCACCTAAAATGCTGCCTTGCTATCACTTATTTGTCTTCCAAAAGAGAACATTTGGAAAGAACTTGCAATTTAAAATATATTTCTTAAGAAAAAAAATGGTGGTAAGAGGAAGAAAAGGGAACGTGCAATTACTTCCACCAAGTTGAAAGGTTTCACAAGCAATAAATAGTACTAATTATTGCTCAGGTAGGAAAATGGCTATAAGTTCTGGTTTACCTAAAATATCTTGCTGAATATATCATAATTGAAGCACAGCTTGCATAACAGCCAAGCTATTGCAGGACTATGTTCAGGACTAACATCATATTGGTTGATGTTGCAAACAGTGTTCTTAATTTGATTTGCACATCTAAGGGTGTATGGAGTTTACTAGTTTCTGAAACCGGTATTTTTCTTTTCTTTTTTTAATGTGCCTTCTGGTAGATAAAAAGATGCAAAAAAAAAAAAAAAGCAAAAGCCATTCAGTTTTGCTCACTGAGTGGCCTTGCGTTGCTGATTTGTAGACTTTTGCTATGTTTTTATGTTTTGTATTTATTCTTTCATGCCTTTCCTAGAAATCAACCTGAAATAATACAAAATTCAAGTATTCACATTCCATGCAGTCCTAATATGCAAGCTATTGGAACTAGTGCCTTGTTACTTTGTGTCTCAGAACAGAACCGAAGAGTTTAGCTCAGTCTTTCCTAAAGTAATTTTAGGTTAATTGTATTCCAAAACCTAATTAGCTTCAGAACGAATATTTGGGAGTTGTATACTTTTCAGACTCATTTTGAACTGAATATTTTACATAAGATTGTAACCTTTACTCTGGACAAGTATTTTTAATTTGGAGGACATTGAGAGGAACCAATTCTGTAAGAGGTTCTAACGTTTAATTTCAACTTTAATAATTGTGACAGAGTTTTCATTTGCCTGAAGGTGATTGTATTGGTGAATCATTTTTAAGAATGTTGGACTGAAAGAACCAAAATGTCTGTAACCACAGGCTTTATGTATTTCTGAGGAGTAAAATATCTCATGTTCTCCATCACCAATCCTAACCCTAACCCCAAATTATTCTCAATGGCTAGGAGAGTTAAAAATATCTACTTTCCTACAATTATAGAACACAACTTTACCATTCTTGAGGATTCTCAGTAGACTGAAGCATGATTATTATTTCTCATCAAAGGATAAACTTGGCTTAGATTCCTAATCAGAAGCAAGATAACCTAGATCACATCTTAAACATTTTACACCATTTAAATATTCTTTTTATTACATAATGGAATCTTATTCTTTATAAAGTATGTTTTGTGTTATAAATCACATTTTAAGTTAATCAGATAACATTGCAAATAATTAGGGTTTCCTAAATCTCTTTGGCAAACAATAAATCTCAGGGATCTCAAAATAGGGTTTTGTTTGCCTAATAGATTTTGTTTCTCCCTAAAAGTTATTTTCCTGTTTCACAATTGCTATTTTTTTTAAAGTAGGCAAATCAGAATCCACAGAAAACAAAATTCTGTGAAAAATGAAGCAGTCTCTGTGACTGAGTTTAGATCTAAATTGTTCCCCTCCTTCCAAAACTATCCCTAGAATATTTGACTTAAGTACTCATTTAGAAGCCAAACATTTTTATTAGTATGTCCAAAACATATTAGGACAATGTAATTGATAAAAAGTGGAGAGACCAATTAGTTATTCAGTATCAGCAGGTCTGCTAATCCTAAAAAACTGAACATTGTAACATTAGCTGCATTGGTAGGAGTATCCAGGCTTCTGAAGGTTAGATTCCTTTAGAATCATGGCCTTTTAAAGTAGGAAAATTCAAGCCAGTTTAGAGGCATCTCATTCTTTATATTAGCTTAGTAGATTTCTCAGCATTATCAAAGTCAACTCCATCCCTGTTATCTGTCTGCTTTTTACTCGAGCGGTTGAGTGTGTAGGAAATAAGGTCTTAATGCTTCCTTGGTTTGAGGAATGGATTTCATGGACCATAATAAGCACTTGGTATGAAGGGGGAAAAAACTCAAGCCAAAGCAATTTGGTTTACTGCTATAATCATGTTGTCAAGGCATGTAACTTCTTGCAACAAAACCACATTAATGTGTATGAGGACTAAACCTCTCCAGTTCAGATTGTTTTGCTACACCACTTTTCAAAGTTTGTGCCTGTTAAAATGTTAAATATAAAATTTAAATTTTTTTTTTAAAAAAGTAAAGTAATAATTTGAGATGTAGGGATTTTTTGGAAGAAAAAACACGTTTGTTTTAGTCAGGTTACTAAAGTTTAAAGTTCTGAAGTTTATGGCACTAACAAAACCAAGTGAACCTCAAGAAAAGTGCTACAAGTGATTGAATCCACATAATTCTGTAGAAATTGATTAAATTGTACCTTTAGCATGGGATTTGTTGGATTTGTTGACTTTAAATCCCATCAGTGCTAGGCAGCATGTTCAATAGTGAAGAGTGATGGGAATTGCAGTCCAGCTATTTCTGGAGAGCTACGTACTACACTATTTTTAAGTTGATTTCTTACTCTGCCCCTGTGTTGTAATGATTTCAGATGGATACCGGACAAATTGATACAAAGTCCTTAAAACTTTCTGAAAAGATTATAGAGAGCAAACTCAAATTTTCAAATGAAAAATGTGAAACTCTCAGTTCTATCTGGTAAAACCCATGTTTAGTTTATGAAAAATAAGTTGACCCTTCTATTACAAAATTAGTGCTAAGGCCAAATCAAAAATATTGTTCGGGTAATTTGCCAAGTCATAATTTCAGGCTGAATTTTTCACTATAATGTGCAATATGAATTTTTCTAGCCTAAAATGGCATTGTTATAACATGTATATAATAGTGTGGGAGTTAAGGTTGATTTTTTAAGAAGAAATGTTCTGGAAATTGTGAAGATTTGAAAATGAATAAATTTTACATATAATTTGTATTAAAGGATTATTTCTTAACTTGCTGGTGTCTGTCATTTCTGTTATAGATACTAAAACGTTCTAAATTATATTGCATGGAATAGGAACTTGTTTTCCATATGGATGAACATGAAACCCACATAAAAAAACCTACTTGAGTCTGTACAGTTTTGTCCTGGGCAGGCTTTTTCCTTTAAACAAGAATCCACCACAGGCTTTAATTTCACATCATAGTTTAAGAGCATTATAAAATATAAACAAAATTATTGTAAAGGAAGATAATGCTAGCTGTGTTCTCATTTGTCTGCATGGAGTTTTAAGCTTGCTAATACTCAGGTGCTGCAAGATTGATAAGGAAATGTATTAACCCTAGAACTTGAGAGCCAAGAGCTAGTATGTTCAAGGATTGTGATTTTCTTACATTAAAATTAAAAAGAAAGCATATTTTAAAGGATAAGAATAAGAACAAAACTTTTCAGCTAATGTGTAACATGCTAGATTGTGACTTAAATATTAACTGACAGTATGAAAGACTTAGAATAACTTTATTGTCACTTCAAATGTACACTAATTGGCATACGGTAAAATGAAATTTCATTGTATACAGCTGTCAAACGGTCACCACCTCCAATATACACTGCATAAACATGACTAGATAAATACAACATTATGCACATACCCAAATATATTATATGATACCGAGAAACAAAGAAAAGCTGCTGTTTTGGAGAATTCATACATTCTACAGAAAACTGGGTAATTTGTCAGTTTACTAATATCCAATCTTTTCAAATCTAATATGTGGCATTGGATTTGGTTTATTGTTTACCTACTTCTAGATGTGAAGAAGTCAAATATTGTGTTTACTACTTTTGTTCCTTGTATGTGTAATTCTTAACCACTAGAGGTCATCCTGGCTGCACTGAATTTTTGGAAAGTCAAATACTGAAACACACTTTAATCAACACACAAGAGAACCAATTGATCAGTCTTCGATTGAACAAGGATGATAGAGAAAACAGTTTACATCTGTGCGCAAATTATCCATAGTATAGTTTGATATATAGTCAGAAAATTAGGTGACAAACTTATCAAATTTCATGGGAGGGTAGCAATTGGAGCAAATCAGCAAATTACCTCAGAAAAGAGACATTCAACATTTCCTCAGATTGAAGTCTGCTATTAGCAATGATGCTATCACAAACTTGTTTTACCCCTGTTTGCTCGAATGACATTTGGAGCAGTGGGGTTGGTAGGCTGACAGGTACAAACATTCTTAATGCTGACAGATTTTATCCCTCTCTTTCAAACATTAGAACTGGGAGGCAACTAATGAAGCTGTATGAAAGGTCTCAAAAATACATGATAAAAGGGCAGAGAGATAGATTTTATAATATGCACTTCTTGCATTCAAGAATAGTGGTCACTAATGTGGATAGCACAAAAGAATAGTTTCTTCAAGGACAAGTCTGAAAAGCCACTAGTCTTAAGAGAAAGCATGCAATATTTGAAGTTGAACTGGGTGAAAAAAAAACCCTTCAAACATCTTTGCTCTACCTACTAAAGGTTAGATCCTTAAGGAATCATCTTTCCCTGCAGAATAGTTTCAATGCAAATTTCAAGTTAATGCACCTTGGAGTTAGAGGTAGCAAATTCCAAATATCTCCGGCAGAGGAACAGTGGTGGACGACGGTATGTCTCCAACTCTTGCTTTTGAGAAGCCAAGAAACATCTGGCTTCCCATTTTGAGAAACAGAATTGTAGGCTATTGTAACTCTTGGGCTCCTCTAGCAGATTTTTTCCTTTTGTTCCCTTTATTTCATAACTCCAAGATCAATTTATTTCAAAACAGCTGTTAAGCACACACACTTTGAAATCACATATCTGAGGCATTCTATGCTGCTAAATAATCTCTTCATCCATCTCTCCAAGCTGAAATAAAGATCTTAAAAATCTTGTAACTAATGTATATACTAATGTAGTTCTGAGAGATGACCTTGAATTTGATAGTCTGCCTGCCTGCCTGCCTGCCTGCCTCCCTCCCTCCCTCCCTCCCTCCCT